GCACTATGGCATGTCGGAATAATATCCATGTGATAATATATCCAGGGATTGACATATTTTAAACTTATAACAAACTTATAAGATACAAGATATATTTATTGGTCAACATGCACAATTTGGTTCATATGAAATTTGGTTTCCAGATATACTTTTTTTTTATAAGAACACATTTTTGGCCAAGATTTTAAAAAAAGTATTTTCTTGTCCTAATATTTTGAACAAAGGAGAATGAGGGCATTTTCTTACCTTTTTTTTCCCTCAGAGATGGCAAATCCAAGATGGTCAATCGGACCATCTACTACTTTCTCACGTTTACCAACTAGACACTTTATAAATTTGATTTAAAAGAGGTTATTCTCTAAAATTTAAAGCATGAATATTTTACCACTAAGTGAGCAAATACATAAGGGACACCAATGAGACATGCCTACTATGTAAGTCTGGTAATGAGGATATTGAGCACTTATTGTGTACGGGTAGAAACTCAAAAATTAATGACATTTGTAGATGAATGTAAAGCTAGTGGATGGTCAGTTTGCTTAGAATTTGTTTTTTTCTAGTGATTTAAATACCAAAACACGAAATATACAAATTCTATAGAAATAATAATGATATAAGTATAATATTCGATAGAAATTCTAAAAGTCTTGCCTAAAAAGAGCTTGGCAAACAAGGAGTAAGATCATGAATGAATAATAAATAAATAACAGTTAAACAACAAGTGTAAACAACGACTCTGAATTTTAATGCTGTTTTAATGATTGTTTAAAACCCATTATAATTCTTTTTTATAAACAATTTTGACTGCCAGTTTTAACAAGCTTTAAAATGTTTATATTTTTATAAATTTTAAAGTAGTAATAGTAGTAGTAGTAAAAACTTTATTTATTCACACAAATCACAAATACGAAGCACAAATCAACAAATACAATGCTGTTTTTCATTATGGCCGTGAGATACCTTATTTACAATTAACAAATTAAACATAAAGGTACATCATAAAAAGCAAAAGTTAAATGCAGAAATTAAAAAAAATAAATACAAAAAATAATTATTAAACAATACTGTATGCCAAAGTCAACAAATTGATAAAATAAAAGTACTGTAATCTATACCTAACAAAGGCAAAATAAACTATGGAAGAAAATCCATTCCACAAAAGTAAACAGAAAATTACAAAAAGGAATGTAAAATATAAATAAAACAAGGCAAGAAAACATCAAAATAGGGATTTATACAACTACTGTATTTAACTTTGGTTTCATTAATTATTAGTACAGATGTGGTTTTTGAAAATAGTTAAATTGGTAGAAGACTGTCGTTTTTTACACAATGTTTTTCTTATACTGTCAATATTTCCTTGTTAGTTGTACAGGGATTGTCCTCCGTTTTGGCATCCTTGTGAATGCACCGTCATTGTGTGCCACCGTTTTAAAAGTGAAGATTCAAATAAAGATTATTATTATTGTTACGTCGGCCGTATTTTACTGACTCAATGATATTCAACAACAACACTTTTTGCCTTTTGTATATATTTATTAACTGTTATCAAGATGGCCAAGATGTAAAATTACTGTGAAATAAAGTAAAAAACAATGATTAAACAATTAAAATAGGCAATAAGAAACACACTGTACCTCGACAATACTAATGTTATCAGCCTATCGGCCACATAATGCAAAACTATTTAAAGGGTTTTTCTTATTTGCCTTTTAAAATTTATACATTAAAGAATCTCTCTTGAGATCCAGCGGGCTGCCACTGATGCACGGTAGAGATTGCATCTTTAGATCTCCGATCTTGTTTACAAATTCATGATAGTGCTGTCTCGTAAGAATTTCGTAGTACGCGTACAGAATGACAAAATATTCTCTGTATCTGCTGGAACTGAGCCACATAGCTTGTATTCCACTATTTGCATTCACACCAGGGCTGTGTATATATATTGCCTTGGTTTAGCTCTGTAAGCATTAGTGGTCGTGGGACTAGTTTGGGCCCTAACTAAGCTGGTTGAACGTTTTATAAATTATGATACACATTAAGTTGATTTGTGTAAATTTTTATTGATAATAGACTTCGACACAAAAAAATAGGTATGTACAACATAAATAATGTAAAAATAAAGTAAAACATGAATTTTAAATGACGTTCTCAGGTCAGTAGGCCTACACAGTACATGATGTAGTGTGGTGTACCTATCTGCTGTACCTTGCTAGCCTACAGTAGGCTTATTATCGACTCAAGGTCGGGCAACCAAGGTAGGTAAACATGACGTTCTCTAAACCGGTCCGTCCGGAAAACCGGTCAAAGTGGACGGTCCGAAGGGTGATCGGTATTGGGAGAGTTGACTGTACAAATTAAGTCTTTTAAAAACTAGAACACATTAGTCCAGAACATTCCATAAAAGCTCGAATTGAGGCCCTGGGCTTCTTCACCGGCATTAAATCACCTAAAATACTATATAAATCAAGCCAGTTTTTGATTTATTTTGTTTTTTGAAATTCATGTACAGTGTATGTACTGTAATATCTTGAAAAAAGCCCATGCTATCTTGAAAAGAAACCCATGGGCTTCTTTTCAATGTTACTTTTACAAAATGAAGAGGGAGATTCAGTTCAAGATGGGTGTGTCCTCGAGATTAAGCCCATTGGGCTTCTATTCGAGGTTTTATGGTATTGCAATACAAACAATGAAACTTAAATTACAATACTGGAAAGGCTATAAGTAAAACAACAAACATTCAAAAGATACAGATGGCAAGGCATATTTTAGCATAGTAGTAGGCCTGACTTGTTCTAGGCTAGGTAGGGCCTGTAGGCCTAGTATAGTGTACAGTAGGCCTTCCTGTCCCATCAGCCCAACCCGATATCAATACCACTACTCCAAGTGTTTTGTAGAGTATTGTTTCATACTGTAGTTGATGCCAGGACTTGCCTGCTTTAAATGTGAACAAGGTATGAAATGAAACAAATTATTATTTTAAATAAGTACTTATAATATAACAAATTTTAGAGGGTTTTTTTTTTCTTTTTTACTCTCACAGAAAAGTAACCCAAAATGATTGGAAATGTCAAGCATGAAAGATGATTTTAATGGGAGAAGATATTGGCTCTGACGTACCTTGAAGCTTTCATTTTGCAGCTTGAAAAGGGGCTATGCTGTCCCTTTAAAACAAAAGAACAGTTGAAGATGGGCTGGTATCATATGAACAAATGTTTTGTAAGTAACATCAACTGAATAAATGAGAAGTAACCACTACAAGGCCAAATAATTATAAATAACCATAAAAATCAGTGTGTCAAGCCTGCAGCAAGAGGGATTTTTGATTGCGATGACAACATGAACCATGGATTCACTCATCCGTGACCATATTTCGCACCAAGATTCGGCCCAATCGTCTAGAATTTAGACTATTAGGACTGAACATCTTTGCATTCATAGATGTTACCCCATTACATCCTACAGTAGGTCTTACCGTTGCTGCGCAATAAAAGGCTGTGCCTGAAATTTGATACTGAATCTAGACTGTGTGTGTCTTGTCTAATAACCTATAATTAAAAAAATGATTTTATTTGCTTAATATGAAATAAAGCCAGACACACGCGTTGTCGTGTGATAAATCATCTTGTCGTGTGATGAATCCACATCAGTTCTCCGTGAGAGCTTGACGATGCGATGCTATCTAGACTGAGTGGATTGTCATTAAAAACGATGGCACACACCTTGTCAAGTTTCATTCATCATGGAATTGTGCCGACTGACAAACGCTCGCGCAGCGTGTGCCCTGCCCAATATTCAATGCAAAATCAATGACAAAAAATGAATTGAAATGTGCACCATATTATTGTTAAAATAATCTTGTGTTGATTTATTGATTTACAAATTTCTGTAAATATTTTATATAATAGTTTAATTTAAAGAAAAAAAGATTTAATTCACATGCATTCATCAAACACAATTTAAATTTTGTACTTTAGTGCGAACAGATTGTTCTGGTTTCTATGGTGACGTATTCAGTTGTCATGACATTGACATTCTTCGTTTACGTATATATGGAAGAAACTAGTCTGCAATCCAAATTTTCGCATACGCATAAAAACCAAGTGTCAAGTGTGCATCAGCTCGTGGATAGTTTTGATGCGAACAATAATCTGCGCAAGAGGGATGTCGGCGTAAGAGATATGGACAATATCTCCGGCATTTTCAAGAGGTTGCAAGTCGGTCTTATATCACCTCAAGAACATAGACACATTTTAAAGAAGTACTTGAAAAGCGTTATTGACAGTATTGCAGAGTATCAAAGTTATGAGGTAGGTACGAAGTGTCCATCTTCTGTCCTAGGCTATACAGTAATGTATCTAGGAGTCTTGAAATGGGGGAGCTGGTTGGGGGTGCAAGTTTGTTTTCTGGGGGTGGAGGGGCATTGTGATGTGGCCACATTTCACATCAATATCTTATTGTAACAATTGTTTGATGAGCATAAACAAAATTGACCGATTCAGCAATGTTTGTTTACAGCTGGTCATGTGACATAACTTGGGTATACCATGGAAAACATTAAATTACAGGGCGATCAGTGTGAAAATGTAGGAGAAGGTAATGTTATGGTCGCAAAAACAATTTGGTATAGTTTGCTGATATTGCTTTACAGCAATAACAAGTGATGGCCGCAATAGCAACCTTCATGTTCACATTGATGTGCCAATCCATTGTGTACGTCCGACACCCAAGTATAGGTCATGTGATGCCCATCATCGAATCAGTGTATTGGCAACATAAACCACAAGGCTAGCTTAAACTATAGCTCCATCCACAATATTGAAATTTCTTTGGCAAAAAACTGTTGTATGCCCATATATAGTCATTATGTGACTATATATGGTCATGATGTGATGTCATCATGAATATATTTAGGCATGTCACATGTTTTTACCAAATAAAATTTGATAGTCTGCAGAGGCCGTCTTCTGGAACATAAATGATTTATGTTAACTGCATTAATGGCATCACCTGTTTTTTAAGTTCTTTGTGTACAGGAAGCACCCAAGTATATATGTTTCCTATACCATTTGCACTTTTCAGTGGAGTGCTATTTTTCACTGCCAACAATACCAACTTCAACCACTTCCTCAGGCATGTGGTATCAAGCCGAAATGCATAAAATTACCCAATCTCTTTGTATTCCAAGGTCTGCTAATTTTGGGAATTGCATTGGATTGGATTGGATTTATTCGGTGTAAACACCAAGGATAACCCACGAAAGCCTGAAGAAGACTTATTTCCAGTCCCTTCCGGTGGTGATTAGGCAGTACACCGGGAGACAATCCCCTACTCTTTACTGAAGAGGGTACTGC